GACACCCACAGAGCAAAAGCCTCAAATCCTCAGGAGCCAAACCTTCCAATAGTAGTAGGGAGGACATCATATAAACCAGACTTCATTGAATAAAAGGGGAGAGAGAGAGAGGGAACAAAAAAAACAGGAAGAAGAAAGAGGAGAAAGAATGACCCATTGGACACGGCTATGACCATCAGTAAGCCTATCCTAACCTGGAGTGGTTCTTCAATTATCTTTATCATCCTAATTAAGCTCAGCAGAGCGTCTTACATACCAGCCACTATTGATTCATCAGAGAGAGGGGAGAGGAGACAGTAAGTGCCCCCTCCTTCATTCTCACCCAAAGTAACCTCCCAACTGAGACCAGTTAACATACACTACTAAGAAATTAAAAAAAGGTACATGTATTGTATGGAATGTACATGTACAAGTATATGTACAGATATAAATGAATTGTATAGTAGACTATGTACATCATAACAGAATAATGATAGTGGAGTGGGTATCCATTTCTGAGACATGATGATCTTCTCTCTTTGACCCAATGACCAGCTTACTAGGCCTTGTGAAATTATGCTTTTATTTTTGCCTATTATTCTATTCTCAGATTCTTCTATGTATTGCCCGTTATTCTTTTCAAACATGCCTATTATTCTATTATTATTCATTAATATAAAGTAATTAATAATAATTATAACAAAAATATTTCAATCATGATTAATTGTCATTATATTGTATTATTATGGAAAGTTTAATGTAATCTTCAAGTGCAGAGAACTGCTGTGGCAAGAAAGAGTTGTTTAATATTGAAAACACACGCTCAGCTGCAGTATAATTAATTATACTAATAATTTATAGTCTATAGTTTTATAGTCTATGACTATACTTTATCAATTTATAATTTTTTTAAAAAGTTCTCATAAATACTGCCTATTATTCTGGAATTATTCTTGATTCTATGAATTCCCTATTATTCTCAAAATTATGCTAGCATAATTTCACAGGGCCTACAGCTTACCCAATCCTTCATAAAGAGCAGATCAAAGAATGACAAATCCTCCATGAAATCTTGAGAGAAGAGAGGAAAAACAAAAATGAGGGAAGAAAAGAAAGAAGGAGAGAGAGAGATACAAGATACAGTGGTAAGTTTCTCAGCGATGACAGTATAACCAATCACTACATTAATATATTAATAGCATCAAACAATCATTATGAATGAAAGGTCAGAGTGTACCCCATTACATCATCTCATTACATTATGTCCAATAAACACACACAATTTCCACACACACACTTAACATACCACACATTAAATCATACCCTCATCGACTCTCAATAACAAAATTACATGTTCCTATTAAAATCTTTGGCCAATAAAAAAGCTCTTATCAGGAGGTACATGTAGCTCTTTTCAAGCAATAAAGTGAACTTTGGATTTGAATTGAATAATGCTAGCCACTACTGCTAATGGGTGGCTAGGATCAAGTTTAACCAGATACACTACAGTGTGGCTAATAATAAATAGGACCCACTAAGTGTTAATGTGTATCAACCTTACATATCAGACAGTGAGCACATGATCACCACATGCTGTCATGCACAGATTGACTCAGCAGCAAAATTGTAGTATTATACATAATGAAATTAATTATTATAAGCACATAAATATTGTGAATTAGATA